ATCAGATTCTCAGGATTGTTAACAACCGGCCCATTCAACCAAGCTAAGGGCCCAAGTCTGTCAACACTGGCGTGGAGTCCTTTGTCAAACTGATTTATTGTCTATACAACAAATCACTGGTGAATAAATGAAAGGCTTGGGGTTTTCAATTCTTCATAATAGTTGAAGTTGCTGAACTGAATGACTTGTTCTGTCTTTTGGTGAATGAAATAGTAAAACATTTAAATTGATGGTAGGCAACAAAAACCCATGATCTACTCAAATTCTTATTCAGTGGAAGACAAAGCAATAAACTTTTCAGCACAGTCAATTCAGTTTTGGTCAAACTAACAAATTAAAGGGTCCTTGAGAGATTAAATGAAATTAAAAAGTTTATTTGGGTTGGGTTTGGAGGATGGGGTGGGGTGACAATATTGACAAAAAGGGGTGTCAATGGACCGGTTTTGGATTGGATCCCGTCTAAACTAAAATCAATTTGGATGGATTAGATGAACCAACAAGACAAGACATTGAATAGGACCACTCCAGACTTAATGGTCCAAAACATTTATTGGATTGGATTGAACCCGGTCCATCCATAATGAATTTATATTGGATTGAGACTATATTTGATTCATTGGTTTGGGTTAAAACCAATATAAATTAAAATAAATTGGACAGTCTAAACATTAAATTGGACTGGCTCAAAATGATCCAAAATATTCATTGGATTGGATTCGACCTGGTACATTTATAATAAATTCACATTGGCCTGAAAATCCAATCTAATTGACACCCCTACTGACAAGTAGTCAATGTCACTTGGCTGAATAGATCTTTGTCAACCATCAATAAATATGCTCCACGTGGCAATGAAGTTAGACCACCCTCAAAATGGTTTCTTCCATGAGTTGGGTTGGCTGGATCCATCATCATTCCTCACCCTCTTCTCATCTTGTCATGTGGTAATTGTCAACCGGAGGCTCTAACTAACCTATGTTTAAAAAGCCGTCGAACCGGTTGCGGACCGACAATAGGCAAAGTACTTGGTTGGGTAGTGGCCAGTGGGTTTGGTGGTTTAATCGTAAAAAATCTGAGATCCAAGTTAGCTGTCCGGGTCAGTGATTCACTGGTTGAACAAAATGGTTTGAAATCAATTAATCAATTTTGTCCACACATTTTGACCAGTGGACGATATAAGCCAATGTTGAACATCTGTATATGTATGGCACGAGAGATGCTATGGATTTTCCACATTTTGATTTGTGGTGACTAGAGCTGTTCATGTGATGATCAGCTTTATACCCCTTCATTGGGTTGGGATCTTTATCTTCTATTGAATTTCAATCTACCTGTTCAAGATTAGTTGGAATAATTTTTTGGGCCACACCAACTATGCTTAATTTTCACAAAAAAAAACTATGCTTAACGGTATTCACTTTTCACATTTCAAGAAAACCTAGCTGCAGACAGCATGTTGGACGGTCTAACCAACTGGTTCATCCACTAAAATAATCATTATTGTCAACAGCCTACGTTATACGTTATTAGTGATTGTATATCGGAAATTTTTATAATATTTCGCATTAAAGATGTCATATGGTATGTTCATTTTTCACATTTTATAATGAATATTTTATGTTTCACAAAATTACTTATCATTAAAGACTTTAACCATGTTAAAGATGTAAATGTAACATGTCACTGATTGTTTACCTTTGAATTTTGTTGCAGTAATTTCCTTAGAATGAATGCATCATAAATTTTGCCACAACAATAACATATGATACATCCAAATCTAGAGATCAATTCTAGTTAAGAAAATTTTCGAGTTTTTTTTTATTTTATTTTATTTTTATTCACCTCTCTTCATTCTCATTGTCACCTTAGTCGGTATCAGTAGAAATGGGGCTAAAATGCTTAATCAATTTTCTCTCTCTCTATATAAAATTTTTGGATACTAAATTATAAGAAATTAAAAGATGCAAAGACTAAAACATCAGGAAGCCTAGCTGTTTTACCGTTAAATACAAAATGCTCCAGCTCAGAAGTTTTAGTAGCTTGGGCTAACAGTAACAGGTGCGCTAAGAGTATTATACTGTCTATTTATAAAACAAAAAGTAATTAGATAAAGTTGAGAGAGAAGACTTGGAAGAGGTCTGGTCGTTGATAGCAAAAGGAGACAGAGCCAAGGAAGGCAGGCATTGGGAACAGTCATGGAGTCCAAACAAATGATAATACCTCTCTTGCTCATAAAAAGTAAAAACAGGAAGGTCCTGTTTCTTGAGTCACATTCACTACCAATGGTTTGGACATGGAAGCCATAGACCCATAATGTGGGTTTGCATTACTCGGTTAGTAAAACTGAATTAGTCCTTTGGCTCTGTTCATTTTTTTGGATTCTGAATGGGGGAAAGTAGGTCAATAGGAAGTTTCCATTGATCGTTTTTCACATTCATATAGGACCCATAGAAGTGATACCCACCTTCCGAGTGAATAACTTTTTCATCTAGTGGAAAATTTGATAAGATGTGTTGAAACAATTTTGTTCATTCTAACAATGATATTTTATGGATAAAAGAATTATTGTATAATTTACCTACCTGAAAAATAAACACAAGTAAATGAAATGGCCCCTCTAATGTGGTTCTCATTGACTGCTTTTTCCATGTTCGTTTTTCACGTTCACCAAGTAAAAAATGAATGGGCCTTAATGTAATGAAAATGAAATGGCCCACATTTGCATTGATGGCCCCCTCTAATGTCCAATCCATTTGTCCTCTTGCTCCACTAGTTAGAATTGCCCCTTAAAATTGCTAACTAGCTTGCTGGTAAAATCTCTAGCTGGTTGGAGTAGAGACTTGAGATTGAGTCCCCTCTTCACTCAGTTGGGGGTCTAGGAGTTTGGGGAGGTTTACCCCTTGTCCTATAGTCAATTACCAAAAACAGAAAAGTTATAATTGCCCTCTCTTGTATGAATCACTTCCCTTCATGTTTTAGTGTCTAGATTGTGTCTTTTGATAAGAAAAATTGAACCAAATCTTTATCAATACCCAAAAGAAAGAGTAAATTAGTGTACTCTGAGGCAATAATACTTAGGTCCTTCAACTTTCATTTATATTAGAGAGTTACCTCGTATCAGATCTCTAGTGTAAGCTACCCTGTAATACCAAGGGGCAGTAATACTTAGGTCCTACTTTCATTTATATTAGAGAGCTACCTTCTTACCTTAGATTGGGACACTCCATTCCCTTAAAAATACTACCATGATTGTGTGCCTATTTAAACATTTCAAAAATCTAAAGTGCCGTTGTATCATTTTATGAGACCATGGGGTAGCCCATCCTACATACCCTAGTTGAAGCGGGGTTTGATCCCAAATCTTGCTATAACTAACCAAACAACCTATCCACTCAGCCTTCATTTATTGGTACCAAATCTTACTTGGTATTTTATTTATAAAATATTGATATTATTGTGAAAATATAGGAAATTTAATAGAATATGGAAAAACAAAAGAATATAACAAAATAGAAACTGCAGGAAATTGATAAAATTGAACAAAAATTGAAATTAAAGAAAAGTTAAGAACTTGGAGAAAATACAAAAAAAAAAAAAAGAATAGGAAAAGACAAAACTAAAAATAAAAAAGAGAAACTTGCAAAAAATACAACAAAAAAAGAGGAAAATACATAAAAGAAAAATACAACAAACAAGAAGAATAAAATACAAGAAAAAAGGAAATATAGAAAACACTAAAAATTGCATAAAGCTGAAATTCAAAACAGCTGTGCATAGCACAGGTCCCAGGTCCCAATTAGTAATATCCATAGTATTGAACATGGGAGATAGTCCCTAAAATATTTCAGTTACTAATTTTAAAATCTTCATAGAACAAGTTTTTTTCCTATTTCTTTTGATGTAAATTGTACAAAAAAAATAAAGGGAGAATGACGGTTCAGCCCAGAGTAGTTGACATTTGGGGTAGGTGTTAGCTTGGAATTGATGCCAATTCATGGGCAGGGGCATTGATACATAAAATGTGGGTGATTGACATTTTGAATATTTACAGCTCTGCAGTGGAAATCAAAAATCTGCATTGGGCTTGTCCATACTTTTCCAGAAAATAAAAATTTCATTGTAAAAGGAGTGAAGATATAACTCCAATAGTTTAGTTTAAAAATTTCCCTCCATTTAAATGGAAAATTTGAAACTAATGTAGCTAAGTGGTATTTAATCTTTAGAATAACTAAGGTCTTAGTTGAAATTGTTAATCATCACTCTCAACTTAAATATATCCTCATGTTCCATCATTCTTTCTCTGCTGGGCTTTGTGTGCATGAGAAAAGAGAGTTTTTGCCCACCTCAGGATATTTTTGGTGTATCTTTTAGTTAGTCGGAAGTTTAAAAGACCAAAAAAATGGTTATTTATTGTTTGGTTATTGCATAGATTGAAAGTCTCGAACACGAACTTATGAAAAAATTGAAAATGTTAAAATTCGAAAAAGCTTTAAATAAAGTTTTTAATCTTTTTGCACCAAAAATAATATTTTTAAAAATTTTTAATAATTCTATAGACTGCAATATAAATTAAACAGTTTTAATCTTTAAAGATAAGACTTTAAAAATTCAATATATTTTCTAAATTATTAAAAGATTTATATAAAATAGATTGCCAAACAGCCCCAAATCTTTGTAGGTGTGAAGTATGTAGGGTGGTGTTAAAATATGAAAGGCACAGGGCAGCAAAAGTTGAGGGAACCTGACATTACAGAAGGGTAGATGCATGCAATTGATGTAAATGTCAGAAGCGGGCAAGAAAAAGATGCGGGATCCACCAAATCCCACCGCGTTATCAAGAAATATAAAAGTGTTTTAGTCATTGATTAATGCCTCCTATGACCATTGGTGCAGCAAAGTAATTCAGTGCCAGAATATCTAGAAAATAATCAGGGGCATTTATGTAAATTAGTTTGTCAGACATAAAATAAAAGATGACTGAAGAGGACAAGAGCAATACGCGAGGACGGTTCTCTCTCTCTCTCTCTCTCTCTCTCTCTCTCTCTCTCTCTCTCTCTCTCTCTCTGTTCTCGTCAACCCCCATCAATTTTCGCCTTGTCGAAGAAGCATGACCAGCTCCTCCGCCGCTTCTCGCAAGGTTCTACGGCCTTCTACTCTTATCGATGTTCTTCTCGTGCCGTGATCTCGCTTTAATTTTCGTTTTCTGAATCTATGTGTTCTTCATCACATATGTATCTTATTTTTTTTTGACAATTATGTTGAATTCCTGATTAGGCTTTGAGCAAGATCGCTTGCAACCGGCTCCAGAAGGAACTCGTTGAATGGCAGGCTAATCCTCCCTCAGGGTTCAAACACAAAGTCACCGATAATCTCCAAAGGTTAGGGTTAGGGTTATTGTACTCTCTATTTCTTATTTTATTAATTTTGCTTTATTTGTTGAATGATTCCTAGATTAGTCGATTTGTTTTTTCGCTCTTTCCTTGATTTTGAGTCTTAAAATCCTTGTTTTTGCTGATTCAAAGGTGGGTTATCGAAGTTAATGGAGCCGCGGGAACTCTTTATGCTAACGAAACTTACCAGCTCCAAGTTGATTTTCCCGAGCATTACCCTATGGAAGCACCGCAGGTGGATATCGATCAACTTTGATATTTTTGTGGGTATTTTTTATGTGATTTTCTTAATTTTTATACTTTTCTTTGGTTGGATAGGTTATTTTTCTCCATCCTGCTCCTCTGCATCCACACATTTATAGCAACGGACATATATGTCTAGGTAATTTTTGGGGATTTTGTTTGCTTCCACATCCGATCATATTTATGCGGACTTGTTATTTACTCAGTCTGGCTTCTCTAAAATCTTTGATGCTTCGAAGCTTCATTGTTGGTTTTGTGCTTGGTCTATTGCTTCATTCTCAAAGATGCACATAATGAGGATATACTTTTCTTTCTATCTTTTTTTTTTTTCAAACTTCTTTGAATATTATTTGGTTTATATTTTATATGGTAACGGGACAATTTGTGCTTTGAATGGGTCATTTTTTTTAATTGTGCTGATGCCGACTATTTTTTTTTTTTTCCATCTTTGAGTTTGTCCATGATATGCTGTTAGTTGCCCTATTCCTCAGCGCTTCAGAAGTTTGTTGCATACCCATTATCCATTGTACAGTTAAGTTGTTATACTGGTGTTATTTTATTATTCTGCAGATATCCAAGTTTTAAGTAAACGAGAAAAGAAAAAGGTCCTGCAAAGAATTAATAGCACAATTCCCATTATGATTGTCAGTCCTTTTTAAGGTTCACAATTTAATATCAAAATGTCACATATAAAGTGGAAGGGAATGGAGATAAACCTCAACTGTATTCATGCTGTCATAATCAGTTAAATTAGTTACTGTTAATTAAATCAAAATTGATCACAGTCAACATTAGAACCATTTCATATGTTGAGATGGCTTCTCTTTGGAATTTGCTAATGCTGCTCATTCATTTATCCTAATAAAAGATATTTTTAAAAGACACTTAAAGTTATAAAAACTTTTTTATAGGGATTATGGATTTGTTTGGGCTTGCCTCAAGAGGCTTGGTACAAAGGGGGCTCATATAATCAAGAATGCATAATGTTTAACATCACATTGGCTATTTGAATTTTCATTTAAATATGTTTTGTATGTTATGCTTGATTGTATTTTTAAATTTTCATTTTAAATATGTTTTACATGTCATGCTTTATGTATTTTAATTTGAGAAAATAGGTTTTTTAAAACATTTATTTTAAAATTTAAGTTTATATTTGTTAATTAATATTATAGTTAATATTTTGCATTTTTTTGAATTTCTTGTCATTTATTTATTTTTTTGGGGTTCTTTTGAACTTTTTACCATTTTTTGCATTTTTGCCTTGCTTCAGAAAGGCGCATGCCTTGCCTTGCACCTCACACCTCAGGCGTAAAATGACCCTTACATTTTTTTTTTAATTTTTTGATGAATAATGGCCCTTGCACTTTTAAAGCACTGACCTTCTCTAAAGTCTCAGAAGTTCATGGCATTTTTATTATTCTTCAAAGAAGATTTGATGTTGCTAAGCTAAAGGCATCGGGAGAATGGACTACCCTTGTAATTTTGATCCCTAAGGAGATCCTCTCTTATGCTTGAATCAGGTAAATGGATGAATCAAAGTGAATTAGTTATCAGCTGATTCAACCAGGATAAGTATGTAGTTTCTTTTATTGAGAGATAACGTGAAGATTTGCTAAAAGTTTAATCTAATTTGATCGAGAGGTACTCCTCGATAATTAATCTTGTAGAAAAATGAAGATAAAAAATGAAAATTAAAAACTTGGATGTATTGTATTAATGGAAATGATAGATTTCAATATAATGTTCTGCTTTTGGTGAACTTAGGAAATTATCAGGTTTTGTCATGATAAGACTTGTGAATTGAGTAGGGTAGTAACTTGGACAGGTTCAATTGTGCAACTTGAATTTTTTCATGGGTTCCACCGGGGTTTAAGGGCTAATATGGTTTGCTGTTGAGCCTAAAAGGTGAGGGCTTGACTTGAGTAGTAGGGCTGTTCATAAGAAGACCCAACCCGACCAAACCGACCAACCCGGACCGATCCAACCCGAGTCGGCCGGGTTTTCTTCAGCACCGGTCGGTTTCGGGTTGTAAAAAATCATAAACCGATGGTTCGGGTCGGTTTCGATTTTCATATGTGAAAACCGAACCCGAACCGACCCGACCCGAACCGAACCGACTTAGTAGTTAGTAGTTAGTTCCTAGTTAGTAGTTACAACCTACTTAGTTCCTACTTAACTAAGTTGTCTCTATCCTAGTTACAACCTAAATTAATTTCTAGTCTTCTAGTTAGGAATGACATTAATGGCAAGTATTGTAAGACAACTAGACAAGGAATTTCTTTGGAAAAGTTTAAAGAAAAGAATCAAAGGATCCTAGTTTTTATGGTCTTTTACACCAAATAGGCGGCAATCAATTACAATTAGAATTAGGTGTCCTTTTTTACTTGGATTAGAAGGTTTCTTGAAATATACAAATTTCAGTCTTCTTTTTCTAATACAATTTGACTTTCTATTTTCTTGATAACTTCTATTCTAACTTGGTCCGCCCCCTACCAATTTCAGTCTTCTTTCTCTAATAGAATTAGGTGTCATTTTTTACATCAAATTTCAGTCTTCTTTCTCCAATCTACCAATTTATTACCATGGTTGAACTTAGAGCCGAAACCGACCCAAACCGACCCAACCCGACTCAAACCGACCAGGTCGGTTTTGCTTAACACGGTCGGTTTCGGTTTCAATTTCAGGTAACCCGACCAGGTCGGGTCGGTTGGAAAAATCTCAGTAAACCGACCCAACCCGACCCGTGAACAGCCTACTGAGTAGGTTGGGATTGGAGTGGAAGTCAATAGTCCAATGTACAAATCTATATGTAGTACACAATCTATGTACATGAAGCACTAAAGCAGTATATATGTGCAAATTTTTTAATTTTTTGATGTCTTCATATACTTTAAGTTGATTATTTTAGGGGAAAACCTGCTACTGTGGTATTTCTCTCTTTGTTATTCTGACAGCAGCCTGAAATCAGACCAGCCAAGCCACTACGGTCCAACTAGATCCAGCTCAACCCAACTGGGCCTGAGGAATCCTACTGAAGTTGTGTTAAAGCCTAGATTGGGTTGCTCTAGGGCTCACAAAGTCAGGTTTATCTTTGAGTTGGACTAGTCCTTGACTGAGATTTGATTCTTGTGGTTGGGCCTTGGCTGACAGCTGGCTTTATATCCAATCCAAGTGACCCAAGTTGCATCCTTGTTTGTGATAAATATAAGTGCAACACTGTATTCAGAAATGGAACGAAGAACATTCTGAATGGAATGTTAATCTGAGATGAATAATTGTCAGTACACAGTTGCAAAGGAATTTCCATGAGACACTCAAAATTTCCCCCTCAAAACAAAAAAGTAACAAAAGGAATGTGTTGCAAAGATCACTGTTTATACGGAAAACTTCTTTATACCTCATTGTCTATGATGATTAGAAGTTTCAAAATCTAATCTAGTGTATCATATAGACTAAAAATTGTGGTAATGAATGTGAATCTGGGTGAACATCACGATATTGGTGCAATTTTCTCCCTGCCCCACTCCCCATCAAAAAGATAAAAAGGGTTCTCTTTCATTTGTGGATAATTCAAGTGTCTTCATCTCATTGGTGACCTTTTAGGTAAGAACTAGTCTAGTGCTTCTTTGCACCAATCCTATACCTCTCCCCTGTCTGTTCACTCTTAGTGAGTCTAGCTGTTGAAGGTTGACTAGGTTCTTTTTTGTTTTAGTTTACTTTTAATTGAAGTTGTTTGGAATGAGGTTCTCTTGCTATGTAGCAAGGTTTTATCTAGTTGAAACTTGCTATTATGGGGCGAGGATATGATTTTCTGGTCAATACTGCTCAATTGAGGATGACCGTTAACTGTTCTGCGTCGGCTGAATATATTTGTGTATGTTCACTCGACTTGTGTCAGCATGGGAATCATTTTCATCATAAGATTTAGTGATTGAGTACCTACCATTTTCTAGTCCGTTGCTTGTCTTCAAGAATGTTTCTATTTTTTTTCTTCAATTTGCAGATGCAAAGATAGCCATTGTTGCTATTTAAATTTTCTCTCTCTCTCTCTCTCTCTCAGCACACAAACAACCCACCCCACTTTGAGCATTAATATTGACGGCTTACCCTTTTTCAGAAATTTGTATGGTTAATTGCACTTTCTCCTTTATTTGAAACAGATATTCTGTATGATTCTTGGTCTCCAGCGATGACTGTAAGTTCAATCTGTATTAGCATTCTCTCGATGCTATCAAGCTCAACCATGAAGGTTTGAATGAACTGCATTAGGATTTGCAATTGCTTATAGTGTATTTTAAGTCGAGATTGATTTGTGATGGATTTTGGTTTTGGTTGCAGCAACGCCCAGCAGATAATGATCGCTACGTGAAAAACTGTAGGAATGGTAGATCTCCCAAGGAGACGAGATGGTGGTTCCATGATGATAAAGTGTGATGATTAAATAATTTGACAACTACAACATCTTCCTGTTGGGTGATCGTCGGATAAAGAAAACTAATAGGTATCATTTTCATCTGAAAGAAGAAAAAAAAAATAGAATTAAAAAAAAAACAATTGTGAAAAGAAAAGGCACTTGCAACGGCCTCATGAGAAGTACGCGGGTTAGGAGCAAAGAGCTGCTGTAAAGTTGCAATTTCTGGTAATTTGTAAAGGAAGAGGAGGGGGGTTAATCTGTCGTGAAGGGAACAATAAACAAACAAGTTTATGGTGTTCTGGGTATCTTTCGTCTCTTCCATATTTGTGTTGAGTATTGTAGCTCCTCCTTGTATGTTCATGATGTCACCCTGCCATCTGTTTTCTTATTGACTTATTTAGAATCTGAATATCAATTTGCAAATGTCCACTGCCCGACTAGGTAGACACGCTGCTGGGTCCGGAACGAGATGCTGTCGGAAGGAACTCACTTTGCCAGTTGCCACAGGCAGGCCCATAGCTAGTCTGGTTCTGTAGCAAAACTCTTGCTCTTAGTCTTAGCTGTTGGCTAAACACGTTGTAAATTCGGGAGCCCAGACAATTTATGTTTTCTGCTATTAATGGACTCGGCTGCCTGTAGTCTGCACTCCAGACTCCAGAGACTTCAGTCCCGATCCCGAACAGAACGAATTTGGGAACAAGTTGAAGGGGGACAGGTCTGACCCCTGAGAGTTTTGGGGGGGAGGGCTGAAAAGGCTGCCGTTTAAGTCCATTGGTTTTGCACTCTGTTTTTCCAAGTAAAAAACATATATCGTAAAGTAGTTTCTTAGCTTCTATAAACCATATTTTCTTAATAATTATTCATAATTTTTATAAAAAGTATACATTTTATATAGAAAATTAACATATTTTATTATAGGAAAAGAAGTTGAAGAAGAGGAGGATGTGGAAGAAGAAAATATGTTGATCTTTATAAAGTAAATAGAATAGGCAATGTAATGAAGTACCACATATGCTAGCTTATAAAGTATATAAAGGGGCTGGTGACACCACCCAGGGGAATATGTGTATTTAGAACCTGTTTTCCTTGTTAATGAAGTAGCTTTGTGTGTGTTCAAAAAAATAACTATGATCACTCGTTTATTTAAGTTGATGGCCCATTCTACGTCGGCATACACAATGCTTCAACTAACAGTGCTTAGTTTTGATCTTTCTAGCATACATAGTGCTTAGTTTAATATTATGTAAATATAGATTGAAAATAAATAATTTCTTTTTTTTTTTGTTTTTGACCAGTCAACAATATCTTTTGGAATTTTTGCATAAAAATTAAAGAAGTTTAGCAAATTGGCAACTTTGGTTATGTTTTCAAATAAATTGCAAAACAAGTTATCCATACAAAAATCTAAACTTTTTTGACAAAATTGCCCCTCCCTTAAATTTCGTGAGTTTTTGCTATGTTATTTCCCCACTTCCTACTCTCTAACTCTTCTCATCCTTTGGCCATGGTTATTTAGCAAAATCTTCATGTGGAAAGAAAAGCAAGAACTTGCAGCTTTCTTGTTCTCCTCTCTGTAATTTGATCTGTTTCATAAGCAAGAAGAGCCTCCAGCATTCTTGTTCTCCTCTCTACTACAAAAGCCTCTCTCTCTCTCTCTCTCTATGATTAGTATTTGATTGAAGTTGGTTAGTATACTGGTGCGTACTAGCCATTGGCAAAGCAAACATGCATCCGCCTTGAGTTCTGCTATCCAATTTTGATCGAGTGAGTTATTTCAGAAAACCTAGCTGAAATAAATGAATCCACAAATCCTAATCTTCTTTAATTTTTATGCGAAAATTCCATAAACTAACTACCTCACACCCATACGTTCCTCTATGATACAACTAAATAAGACCCCGACTTTGAATTGTAAACAGAACCTCCAAGTTTAAAATTAAGAGAACGTATTTCTAACTTGGATGTTTAATTAGTAGGCTTTCAACATTTGGATTTCTAGTTATTGTGTCTCTACATGCATTTCCACAATAAATTTTACAAATATAGAAAATCCAATATCAAGAATATTTGTTCCAACTCAAATATACCATTATTAATTTCTCCAAACCTGCTAATTGTATAATTTCATCAATATATAAGAGAAATTATGAAGGGAAAGGTAGTAAAAAATAGAAAACCTGACTTTACAAATTATATGGTTGAGAGTAAAAGGCAAAAATTGAACACTCCTTTAGCAAAAAGTTTCCATGCATATGATCTTAAGTAGAAGACAGATTCTTAACAGATTTAAGGGCTTACCTTGGAATGTTATAGTTTTGGTGAATTGATTATGACTCAGATCTAATATTGAACAAGGCAACAGAAAATCTACAAGAATCAGTCCAAATAAGCAAAATATAAGAATGATAGAAAACAGATCACCTACCCTTCCTATAATATTTTCATTGCTTTATGCCTCTGTTGTCTCTATAATATTTTTCTAAGTTGAGCCAAAGCTTTGATCACCTACCCTTCCTATTTCACATGTTACAATCTATCCAGGTAGCATAGCTCCCCCAATACAAATTATCCATGCCTGTCCCTTCCATAACCAAATGCATATGCTAGCACATTTCTAGATGATTCTGACCCACTAAATAAGTTCGCCCTATTTGAGTAAGAGATTTTACCTCTTTAAGTGAATGACAATACATTCTTGGGCCTTCCTTATTAATGACTATGTACGAATATCCATTTTTACATTGTCATATCCAAAGGGAACGATGGAATTTGAGCTCTTAGAGTGGGCATAGCTCTACACTTATATGCATCCTCTGACTCCCATCTGATTCTACAACCCATATGGGTATGGGTAGGGTATGGTATTAGGTTATATCCAACCTTCCTGATCCACATTATGTGGGAAAGCATATGAACTTTATGTATTATGTGTTGAGCTTAAAAATATTTTGAATTTTATGTGAAGGATAATTGATAGATTATGTGTTTTTTAACATGTTTTAATCAAATAATTAGAATTTGCAAAACACTCCCCAAACCTGCCACATTACCATCCCTAGGTAGCATAGCATGAAGTTGTTATTCATCCAATCAGTGTGAAGGATTTATTTATTTATTTTACACATTTCTTCATATATGAATAAATTTGGACCATTAACAAATTTAGACACCACCCAACAATAAACAAATCGAATGGTGTTTAACAGATTTAGATAACATTTGGCAATAAACATATCAGATGGTGTTTAACAAAGTTAGACACCCTCCAAAATTAAACTGACCACATCACCTTTTTGAAAATTTCAATTATTAGATAGTAGCAAACATTGATCAACCAGATGATCTCATAGTATTTTCACCCTCAAATACGTCTAAAACCAATAGACCACAAAGTTGTATATGATTCTCATAGGTGCTTAGACCATCTAGTATATAGACTAGATGGTGTTTAAATGATTTAGGTAGCATCCGACAAAACACATACCAGATTGTGTTTTGCAGACTTAGAAACCAACCGCATTGCACAGGCCAAATGATTACTTTCAATTTTGAGTTATCAATTATAGTTACAATAATTTATTATGCAAGTGATCTAACACACTCAAATTCTTTTAAAACCCAACAAACCAGATGGTTGTATATGAGAATCATAGATGCATAGACCATTCAGTATGCATAAGACCAGATGTTGTACTATAGACTTACAAACCATGCGACATTACATAGGTTGTTTTTTTTTTTTGGTAAATACAGGTTGAATGATTGCTTGCAATTTTGAGTCATCAATTAGAGTTGCAATTGTAGTCATCATTCATCTAAAGTCCATCAAACCATAAGGTTGTATATGATTTTTATAAGTGTACAGACCATCTAATATAGCGAAGACTGGACAGTGTTTTATAGACTTAGAAACCACCTGGCATTAAACATATTGGATGATTGCTTGCAATTTTGAAACATCATTACAGTTGCAAGAATTTATCCCCAGATGATCTAGTTTTAGTTGCACTATCAAATATATTTGGAACCCAATAAACCACATCATTCTGTATGGTTCTCATATGTATATATACCATCCGGTATAGGGCATGTCGAATGGTGTTTTGCAGACTTAGCAACCATTTGGCATCACAAAGTCTAGATGGTCTATTGCAGTTTTGAATCATCAATTGTGATTGTAAATATCTATCATTGAGGTGATAAAATAGTATTTGCACCCTCAAATTCATATAAAGCCCAACAAATCATAAGGTTGTGTATGATTCTCACAAGTGAATAGACCATCCGGTTATACCGGATGATGTTTTATAGACTTATAAACCATTTGAGATTACATAGGTCGGGTGATTGCTTACGATTTTGAGTCATCAATTTATAGTTGCAATCATCTAGTACACATGTGATAAAATAATAGATACACCCTCAAATTCATCCAAAACCCACTAGACCATTAATTTGCATATGATTTTTACATGTGTACAAACCATCTGGTATATTGAAGACTGAATGGTGTTTTATACTATCAAATGCATCTAGAACCCAATATACTACATGATTTTGTATAATTATCATGTGTATAGACCATCTGGTATAGGCAGCCTGGATGGTGTTTTACAGACTTAGAAACCATTCGGCATTGAACATACCGTATGGTTTTTAGCATATTTTCCCAAAAAAGGTGTTAATAGTATAAATCATTTGGTAAAATTGGAAATACATATACAAAGGTTGGAATGGATATAGGATAAGTATAATCCATATTAAATAAGAAAAAACAAAATGTTACTTAGAATGCCAAGCATTTGTAAAATTAGTTACATTTGTCTATATTTAGAACCAAAATAGATTTAATTGATGACAAAATTCATTTAAGGGTCCATTGTATTTTCCTTTTGGATCAACTTTTGAGCTCATATCCTCTTTTGTATGTCTTGATTTGAGACTAGGGCAGAGAATTTTCCGCTAGTGTCACTTCATTAATTGAATGTGAAGTAGCAAGATCAACAACACGATTACAAACTTTTTCTTCTTTTGTCTTGCATGTGTCGGATTATTCAATGAAGGCTCAGGTTCATTACATACTTTATTGTTAGTTGTGGATACAACTGCCAATGAAGCAATAACATCCAATGCTTCATGAACATATTGCCTAAGATTGTGTTCAAATTTTGCAAGCGGGAATAGCATAGGGAGAAGACACTTCAATGTCTCTTGTCGAAGCAAAATATAATAAATGTCAATTTGTTATTTAAGAAAATAAAGATCCAAATTACTAAATAAGCTACTAAGTTAAAGTAACATGAAAATTTATTTTATTGCCATGTCATGTAATTGAGCTTGCAAAGACTACGTTTGTCTCATCATAACCTTGATTTTCATAGTTCATACTTGATGGTCCATGAAGATGAT